TGAGCCCAGGAGTTGGAGGTTGCTGTGAGCTGTAATGCCACGGCACTCTACCCAGGGTGACAGCTTGAGGCTCTGTCTCAAAAAAAAAAAAAAAATCCAGTCTACTATCCAGTTAATCCAGGCAACTCCCCTACTGAGAAGGCCCAATAATAACCATATATAGCCAACACATCTCACAACCCAAGAAACAGACATTTGTGCAGCAGGTTCAGATTTAAGCAAAAACAGTTGCTGCTGGAACTTTAATTTAATTTTATTTTTTTGTAGAAACAGAGTCTTACTCTATTACCCTCAGTAGAGTGCTGTGGCGTCACACAGCTCACAGCAACCTCCAACTCCTGGGCTTAGGTGATTCTCTTGCCTCAGCTTCCCAAGTAGCTGGGACTACACATCCCCGCCACAACACCTGGCTATTTTTTTGTTACAGTTCAGCCAGGGCCGGGTTTGAACTCACAACCCTCAGTATGTGGGGCCGGTGCTCTACTCACTGGTCCACAGGTGCCACCCAGAACTTTTATTTTTAAAGCTTTAAAAAGTCCAGCTGCTGGTAAGAACTCTGAGGAGGAAAAGTTATCTGTTGTTATTTGTTCCCTCGCATCTCCATAAAACAGAATATACTAAAACTACAGTACCCACAATAGCAGAGACGGGGGTTTGTTTCGTTTTTAACTACTTGTTGAGTGTGCCAGGTATTATTCTAATATTTTTACATGTACTAATTAATCACTTAATTCTCAAAACAATCCAACAAGGCACATACTTAAATTATTATTTCAGGCTCGGCGCCTGTGGCTCAGGTGGCTAGGGTGCCAGCCACATACACCTAGGGTGGCAAGTTCGAATCTAACCCAGGCCACCAAACAACAATGATGGCTGCAACTGGAAAAAAATGGCCAGGTGTTGTGGCGGGGGCCTGTGGTCCCAGCTACTTGGGAGGCAGAGGCAGGAGACTCGCTGGAGCCCAGGAGTTGGAGGTTGCTGTGAGCTATGCCACGGTGCTCTACCCAGGGGGACAGCTTGAGGCTCTGTCTCAAAAAAAAAAAAAAAAGAAAAAGAAAAAAAAAATTATTATTTCATTCCAGGTATGAGTATTCTGCTGGGTGGAATGAGAACACAAAGCCTCTGTCTCAGCTTAGGGTACAATAATTCTCTCTTACCAGTTTACTTCTGAACTTCTATCTCAGCCTGCTCCTGAAAGAGGATGGGATGAGAAAGACAAAATGAGACACACTAATTGTAGTGGGGTTCCCAATTTCTGCATCATTGGTATTTTGGACTGGATAATTTTTTGTTGTAGGTGCTGTCTTATGCACTGTAGGGTATTTAAAAGCATCCCTGGTCTCTACCCACCAGATGCTTCAGTCATAACAATCAAAAATGTCTCTAGCCAGGCGCAGAGGCTCACGTCTATAATTCTAGCACTCTGGTAGGCCGAGGCTCAGTGGGTAGGGCGCTGGCCCCATATACCAAGGGTGGTGGGTTCAAACCCGGCCCTGGCCAAATTGCAACAAAAAAATAGCCGGGCATTGTGGCAGGTGCCTATGGTCCCAGCTACTCAGGAGGCTGAGGCAAGAGAATTGCCTGAGCCCAGGAGTTGAAGGTTGCTATGAGCTGTGTGACGCCACAGCACTCTACCGAGGGCGATAAAGGGAAACTCTGTCTTTACAAAAAACAAAAACAAAAAACAACTGTCTCAAAGAAAAAGAAGGCAAAAAATAGTTATCAAGTAATATAACTTTAGGAAAAAAGAATGGAGGGAACCTAGAATAATCTTCCCTATATAAGCTTTCACTCCTCTTCTTCCCCACCCCCCGAAAGCCACAGCCTAAAAGGGGCAATTTTAGAAGACTTCCAGTGGTATATATCACCCTGTCTAGTTACCAGAGAGGTTTTTGTTTTTGTTTTTAAACCACCTTCTTTCACATCTACTCCCATCCCTAGAGAGAATTACAAAAGGCAGAGGTTATCTATCAGGGTTCTGGGCAAAGGGCCCCTGGGGAAGTTTGCCTTAGATTCTCCCCATGACCATTTCTCCAAGTCTACTTCAAGAGTGTACAAGCCAAGGCCCATTCATACTGAACAGCATTGGCAAGGGGGGATTTTTTTGAACATCAACTCTTTTCCAAAGCACTAAGAGAATTCTGTACTTAAGACCCCAGTCTTATAGTAACTCCTATAACTTATAATTCCTCCTCCTGATATCAGAGAAGGCCCCTCTGTTTCCTGGATACCAAGAGCTGCCCAGATGGCTCTGGACCAAAATGACAGCAAAGCACTTGAGATAAGTGGCTGTAGAGATAAGTTGCACACTGAAGCAGGAGGAGGGCACAGTGTTCTCTAGGGAGGGAACTATATAAACATGAGAGCCATATGGAGAGAAAAGGTAAGGGAAACAGGAAAGACAGGGAAGGGGGAAGAGGGAAGGAAAGACCTCTACCAGGGATACAATCTTCCACAGCTGGCTCAGCAGCTAGGGCGCCAGCTACATACACCAGAGCTGGCAGCTTCAAATACAGCCCGGGCCTGCCAAACAACAATGACAACTACAACCAAAAAAATAGCCGGGCATGTGGTGGGCACCTATAGTCCCAGCTACTTGGGAGGCTGAGGCAAGAGAATCACTTAAGCCCAACAGTTTGAGGTTGCCATGAGCTGTAATGCCATAGGCACTCTACCGAGGGCAACAAAATGAGACTGTCTCAAAAAAAAATAATAAATAAATAAATAAATAATCTTCCAAGCTTATATTCACATAAGTATTGCCTCATTGTCAGGGGCAGCTGAATCAGGATTAGGAGAAAGAGGCACCAAGCACAACTTCATGGCTCTCAGGCAAGTAGAAATCATCTCCAGAGTAAGGTGAACAACTAAGCCCTTGTGCTTGGCCAAACTCAGAGAGCAACCAAAAACAAAATGAATACTCTGAGTCTTGTAGCAATCTTGGAACTGGGGCGCCATAGGAGGTGGCAGCATTCCTTTCCCCATCACCACCCACCATTCTCCAACAGCCAACCATGAAGTGCACATCCCCAGCTGGGCACATTCAC